TCATTCTACCTTTTTTCTTTTCCTTTCATTCTCTGTTCTATTCCTATCCTTCTGCTAGGCCCATTCATTTATGAATACTTGGAAACGGTTGACGAGATATAGCATGAAAAAATATCTCTGGCCTGGTTCTTTTGACTTTAAAATTAAATGGAAACCTTATTTTTTTTTTTATATGCCATGTCACCCCCTCAGAACTAAAGCGATTATGGCTTTCTACAACATCCTAAACGAGTTTGATGACATGCATAACGTCCAAATATGAGTACAGATCTGACAAGACTATTTAACATATAGGCACCTTATATAAACGAGGTGTCCCTTTGAGTATTCCTGAGCCTTCTTCTTGACTGCCATCTGAATTAAATTCAAAAGCCTGATTCCGAGAAAGTCAGTCTAGGACTGAAGAAGACTGGCATAATGTTGTGCCGGTTTGAATTAGACCATACCCACATGAGGTAATTTAGGATTTGTTTGATTTTGCTGTATAATATATATATATATATATATATATATATATATATATATATATATTAAAAAGAAGAGTGAAACCCCCGATTTTTTTGCTGTAATGTGGATTTTTAAAAAAAATATATATTATGTATTATGCTTTAGTTTTCCATAATTATGGAAATTAAAGCCTAATATAAAAACGCAATTATAATTAATATTTAATAAATAATTAATATTATAATAATTAATATATATATACATATATATATATATATATATATATATATATATATATATATATATATATATATAGAAAACATAATTATGGAAAATAAAAGTATAATATATATTTTTAAAAAATCAAGTTACAATCAAAAAACGTTTGCGGTTTCTCTTTTCTTTTAATATATACACTTTTCTCTCGTTGGACAACGATAACCTCTTCCTTTTATATATATATATATATATATATATATATATATATATATATATATATATATATATATATGTATGTGACCCAAATATTTTAAACAGTAATTATTTAGCCTACCGGTCTGCGTCCTGGAAAAACTTAATACATTCTCTTTTATTAAGTTTTTCTCAGGTATCTAAAGCGGGCAGATATAATTCTGCTTAAAATAAACGGACTGTCTACTCAAATATGAATATACACTGACAATAGCGCTTAAATCTAATATATATATATATATATATATATATTTGTTTGTTTGATTGTGTGTGTGTGTGTGTGGTAAAAATATAGGATAAGGATTGCTATATTAATGGATGAATGTGCGATCAAGGATGGCGCGTGAACATTCGAGTAGACAGGGGTTGAATACTGAATGGCAACAGACACTTTCAGGGTTGAATGCTCTCTTCAGCTGTGAAAATTGCATTCATACATTCTACAGGGAATATATATATATATATATATATAAATATATATATTTAAGACATTTTTTATGTTTAACGTTGTTATTTATTGATACAAGTATTTAAGCAAATGCTCTGTTTATGATTAACAGTATTAAATAACATTTACCGGCCTGAATGTCCGAGAAATTTTCATAGAAAATATTCGTTCTTTGACAGGATTCGAACCTGCATCCTATACGGAACCGTCATTTACGCTGACGTGCCTTACCTCTGGGCCACAAAGAACCTTTTCGGTAGAGAAGGTCGAATTTACTAACTTATAAACTTCAATCTTCCATGAATCTCGTACATTCATAACTGCTCTGGCGTATCAAATGTAAACAAATGACGTCATATATTAAGAAATGGACAAGGTCCGACAATTTATTTATTAAAGACATTTTTTTATGTTTAACGTTGTTATTTATAGATACAAGTATTTAAGCAAATGCTCTGTTTATGATAAACAGTATTAAATAACATTTACCGGCCTGAATGTCCGAGAAATTTTCATAAAAAAAAAAATAAAAAATGTCTTTGATAAATAAATTGTCCATTATATATATATATATATATATATATATATATATATATATATATATATATATATATATATATATATATACTCGGGATGTGAAAATAAAAAAAGAAATTTAAACATTTATATCACATTTCTCTCATCCATTAATATCAATACACGGAATTAAAGCAGGATCTAAGCAACCCCTGTAGAAAGCATCGGAATATATTTGTACGGTGTCTTGATGGTGTACGTTCGTATATAAACTAACAATGTCAAATGACACTAGGAATTTGTCATTAGAAAGAATTTTAATTTTTAATAAACTTAGAAACTTTGAAGAAGTCAGAAATACCGTGGGTGGAAAATAATTCAGAAACGGGTTGGAGTATTTCAGGCAAACATTTTGTTAATTCCTGTTGCACAGAAACAGTCCGAGAAAGAATGGTCATAAGAGGAAAATTGTCTTTATTTATTTTGGGTAAACCATATAGAGGTGGACGTTTGGAACCAACAGATCTAATGCAATTGTACGCATTCTTGGAAATCAGGTTGCTTTTATATACCGAAAGTAACCGTCTCTTTATTCTTGCTACTATTTTGTTGATATTCTTGCATACTTTTACAGAACCAATCTTCATAAATTTCTCTGCCAGCCAATGAGAGTGAAGTGCTGCTCCTTCTTTTGAGTAACTGTCGGGTAATTATCATTTGTCTATTGTTTTCATGTCGAAGTATAATTGTGTTTTCGACAAGTATTTTACGGAATTGTGTGTGCGGGCAGGCATAGTGTTTTAAATGCCCCAAAATGTTAGAGTTTTCATTCAAATGTAGTGTCAAGCGTCGTGAAAGCGATTTTGTGGTGTGACCAACATAAATATTATCTAATTCGTTGGAGATACACTCTCCCAAAGGTCACTTGAATTTATAAACTATGTTGGTTTTTTGCAAATCGCTCACTGGGGGAGAAGAATCATTGCGAAGAATTAAATTGGATATACAAGATTTAGTGTAGTATATGATTAATTTAATTTTTTTGCTAGGATCTGTATTAGAACTGACATCCATTTTCTCAATATAATCCTGACTATTTAAAATTAACACACCAAAACATTTATCCGGATTAGAGACATAAATATCACTTCTAGACATCGAAGACTGTTAAGTGAAATCCCTTTAACTGATCAGTGTATTAATTTTGGGGAATCCATATATTGATGTACTCAAGGGCACATGACCAGATGATAAAACCTTGGTTGAATCCAATCTCTTGAGCAAAATGCACAAAGACATGAAGAGTTCAGTTAAAGGGAGATAACTGATACTAAAACATTCAGAAGAGTTATGGCGCGTGGAACTCGAACAATCTACCACGGTGGAAGAAATAAAGGGTTCAGTTCTAGATTCGAATTACCTGATGAAGACCAGAGCGTACAACAGCCGAAACATTGTGAATTTTTATATATATATATATATATATATATATATATATATATATATATATATATATATTCATGCACGTTTCATTAAATAATATAGACATAACGTCTGATAAGTTTTAATAACATTATCATTAAATGAAGAAAGAAAATCACAATATTGATCCATATTTTTTAATCCAATCTAAGCTTTCGGCTTACATAAGCCATTATCAAAGATGTCAATTACAACATATTAAACAATATACGGACAAGACAGTGATGATAGTCTGTCATTGTTTACATAGACGATTTCTAAGCAACGATAAACACGTGCATATAAGACGCTAGAAGTGAAAATCGCATGACGTCACACATGACCACACGATAGTGAATTGTAGAAGTATGGGAAGCCGTTGGTATAAACCAATGGCTCCTGTTACCAATTATAGACATTTAAGAATATTTGAAGAGATGCCATAATTGATTTTGTTGAGGTTGGGTTTATATTGTTTGATGTATAATGCTTCAAGGATTTTTAGTTTTTGTCTATTGTTTTCATGTCGAAGTATAATTGTGTTTTCGACACGTATTTTACGGAATTGTGTGTGCGGGTAGGCATGTTGTTTTAAATGCCTAAAAATGTTAGAGTTATCATTCAAATGTAGTGTCGAGCGTCGAGAAAGCGAGTTTGTGGTGTGACCAACATAAATATTATTTAATTCGTTGGAGATACACTCTCCCAAAAGGTCACTTGAATTTATAAACTATGTTGGTTTTTGCAAATCGCTAATGGGGGGAGAAGAATCATTGCGAAGAATTAAGTTGGATATACTAGATTTAGTGTAGTATATGATTAATTTAATTTTTTTGCTAGGATCTGTTGTTGATATATTAGAATTTACTAATTTTTTTAGTATATTTTCATCTTGTTTATAATTAGTATGCATTTGATTACGATATAGGAGAGTAATATATTTGAGATCAGTAGAAGCAGTATTATGTACAATTTGCTTATTATTGAGATTTCTAAGAAAGCATCTCATTTGTTCATCAACGATATAGTTTGGAAAGCTATTATTAATAAGTGTTTTTTTTTTATTCTTTAGTTCACTGTAAAAAATCTGATTTGTGGATGAATTAGTTTCTGCACGATGTATTAGATTCCATATAATTGCTATTTTGTAGTAATATGGACATTTGCTCTTGTAGTTAAGTGTACATGAATTTATGCTTGTAGGTTTTTTGTATGGCTAAATAGTAAATTTGTTATTATTTGTGTTTATCAATATGTCAAGGAAGGGGATTTTATTAATAGTATTGAGTTCATATGTGAATTTAAGGACAGAATTATTTTGGAAACGTTTTTAAAGTTGAATTATTTCATCTGTATTTTTAACTAACATAAGAATATCATCAACGTATCTTAGGTAGATTGATGTTTATATATATATATATATATATATATATTACGGCGTATCAACCTTTTGCCCGTTATTTGAAACCAGACAAATATTTTTAGATTGTAATAAGGTTTTGGAGATAATAATAAATTACTGATATAAGTCTGACTATTTAACCCATAGATGGGAGGATAAGATATGAATTCATACCTTTCCTAAGGGTATTTACGTAAGTGAATATAACAAACCCGACTGAAATTGGCAATTGCCATCTATTGCACCAGTTGCGCATCCAAGATTCCAAAGCAGTCACCCATCTAAGTAATGACCAGGCTCGATGCTGCTTAACTTCGGTGATCGTACGGGATCGGTGTTTCAACGTGTCGTAAGCACCAACATACTTAAAGTTGTCTACTTGCTTCAGTTTATTCGCCTTCAAATGTGATAATTTCACCCCTGGTTCGTTGTGTAGTGTAAGCTTAGTTTTCTTGAATATTTACCCATAATCCTACAGCATCACTGCAACCGTTTGCTGAAGGTGGAGACGTTGTGTCTGTTTGAATTAGTTTGAGGTTAAGGCAAGATCATCTATAAAGTCGGAAGCCATTATTTATATAGATAGATGGCGGGAAATCTGACTTCTTAGCGTAAAGTTAATGTGTGCTTCTCGTGTTGTTTCTCGGAGAGCACAATTCCCTGCTATAATGAACAAGAACGTGTCACCTTGGAGAAAACCTGCGTGTATTTTAATGAATGTTGAGTTTCCGTCTGGAATTAATACTTCAGCATCCAGTATCTTTTTTTGGTAGTTCGGATGTCTTTAGGATTTACCTCAATTTCTCTTTGTCTATTTATTTCTAATATGATGAGTTTACACTATAGTAGATTGGATAGAATATATACTTAGTTTTTCTTGAATTTTCCATATAATCCTGACTATTCTGTGGCAACTTCTAGCCGTGAGCTGTTCGTGATTAATCCAAGTTCATCGGCAAAGTCTCTATACGCAAAGCAAAAGAAACGTATTAATCAAGAAAACGAAAGATAAAAATACTTGTATGAATTATTATTACTATTATTATTATTGTTGTTGTTGTTGTTGTTTGTGTGTTAGGTTTCCTGCTTTGTATCCTCTAGAGCCTGGTCCAAACTATGGTCCGTTGGTCATATATGAGAATTGGCATTTAATACATAGCACTTTTCTTAGTATATGGGATGTCCCTAGTAGGGCGATCTTCTGGGCAACCTATATGTTGATATTACCTGGGGCACTGTTAGTAAAATTGTCCATTCCTTTTCTCACGAGGCCCAAACGAAAAAAAACTTACACTGTGTGACAAAGCATAACAACAACAGCAGCAACAACAACAACAACAACAGCAATAATAATAATAATAATAAAAATAATAATAACAGGATGTAGGCAATGAAGACTAACACTGTACCAATAGTAATCTTATTGGTACAGTCTCAGGCTTCATTCCTCACATCCGGTTATTATTATTATTATTATTATTATTATTATTATTAGTAGTAGTAGTAGTAGTAGTAGCAGTAGTAGTAGTGTTGTTGTTGTTGTGCTTTGTCACACAGTGTAGGTTTTTGAATATGCCGGATAAATTAAGTTACGTGTCAAGTCACAACTAGGGCTTCAAGCAGGCAACACCTCCCTCAAAATATGTGCAATGTCGAAAAGAGCCGGTTTTTCGACCACTTAATGTTGGTATCGTATCCCCGGCTGGTCGGAGAAGTTAAACAGTTTCACTGGCACCATTCAATCCCAATGCGCCAATCACAACTGGCATCCCTCATTCCAACACAATCTTGCCATCTCAACTTTCAAATCAGAGTAGTTTGTAATTTTCTCAATCACCTTGTTTGATATATCCGTGGCATTTTGGTATGGCATCATCAATAATATGACAGTTCTTGGTGCCTTTATCTGACACAGTGATATCTGGAGAGCGATGGCGTATCATTCTGTTTGTCTTAAAATCATAGCTCCAGAATATTGTGGGCTTTCCAACATGTTCAATTCTTTTGCAAGTCATATATACGCATAACAATTTTTTGACAACTTGCTAACCATACTTTTCACATTACAACCTGTGTATATAAAGGGACTCAATATGATCCCGCATCTTATATTCTTTTTGAGCTAGCATTATGTAACTACTGGCCAGGTGAGTCACATTTTCAGAGGGTTCCGCACAATGCCTACATTGTTTTCTTTTGATTTCTGTTGTATACACATTTCTTCCCGGCTCCCAACCAGAGACCTAAGGCCAGAAATAGCATCTTGACATTTTCCACTGGGTTTGGTTTGCTTTGTTTTACGGCATGTCAACTTCAATGGATTATTTAATGTCGACAATTTTTTTATTGCTGGTAATATATATATATATATATATATATATATATATATGTATTGTTGTAGAGTAGTTTTCACAGTGGAGGTGTGTTGAACTGTGTGTGTGTGTGCAATCTTTGTGATGGTTGGTGTGATATCGTGTGTGTCAACACCACTTATTTATCATTTCACCAGTTTTCAAAGCCAGTGGGGCTTGCATTTCAATAAGTCGTCCTAACGCAAATTAGGTTCGACTGGGTATTTATCATTTTTACAAAACGCCGGTTTTATTAGGTTTCCCCCCGAGCCCGTAGGCTCGGCCAAAAAAAACTTAAAATAACGGGTTCAGGCCTGTTAATGACGAAACCTTGCCCTTCGGCAAATCTAGTTGTGATGACCGTTGGTATTTATCTTTTCACCCACGGGAAACGAATATGGCACAAGGCCGGTTTTTATGTGGGTCCGATATTAAGCCGATTATACGGGTTCAGGGGCCTGTCTACCTCCCTCAACCTTGCCCTTCCAAACTCGTCCGGGCCCAATGCTGGTTCGACAAAGGTGCGCAGTCAAAGACCGCTAAACACCACTAATATTTATCATTTCACCCATTATCTTTGGGACTGAGTATTTATCTTCTCACCCACGGAAAAGAATATGGCACAAGGCCAATAGCTCGGCCAAAAATATAGCCTTTTGAAGCCGATTAAGGTTCAGGCCCTGTCTACATCTCCCCCGGACGTCAGGCATCACCACACACACACACATCATATATATATATATATATCAAAATATATATATATATATATATATATATATATATATATATATATATAATAAAAATGTATTTCTCTCCCACGGAAAGAATATGGCACAAGGCCGGTTTTTTTTTTTCCAACAAAGCCGATTAAACGGGTTGCTAATTTTTTTTCAAAATATATTACTGGTAATATTTTTTCAAAAATCTATTGCTGGTAATTTTTTTCAAAAATGTATTTTGTTGAAAAGAATAATGTTTTTGTTTTTCCAACAAAAGTATTAAACGGGTTCAGGCCTATCCACCTCCCCTGACTAATTTTTTTTTCTTACGCAGAAGGTTCGAAAATGTATTATTATCACCCACGGAAAAGAATATATATTTTTCCAGCATATAAGCCTTTTGAAGCCGATTAAACGGGTTGCTGGCCTAATAATTTTTTTTTCAAAAGTATTTATTTCTGATATTAAACCCTATTTTACACTTTCATCCACCTCCCCGGACGTGCTTTGACCCTAGTTTGAGGGGTTACCACTGAGTATTTATTTGCCATGAATAGGACTCTCACAGGTGAAACCCGTAGGCCAGCCAAAAAATAGCCCCCAGGTCAGGGTGGACCTGGGACCCTGCTAACGCAGAGAGGTCGACAGGAATTAAAAGATGGTTCCAGCCGATTAAACGGGTTCCTCAAAACCTCCACGATCAGTGGCCTTTTCAGAGAGAATGAGCGTTTAATAAGAAAAAAAACAATCTAAGATGACACATATTTAATTTGATAACGCCCTACTAACGCAGAGGTCGACGGGAGGCAGTCAAAGACCGCGGATGCAGTATTTACTAGTAAAAAGAATATGGCACATTTATTTTGTATATTCTTTGAAGGATTAAACGGGTTCAGGCCTGTCCACCTCCCGGACGAAAGGGACCGTTTTAATGAATCTAAACCGCGGGACGCCACTGGAATCTTTTCAATCAATCCGAAGATTCCACCTTGCCCTTCAACTGCTAACGCAGAGAGGTCGAATTGTTGATGTCCTCAAGGAAAAGAATATGGCCATTTTTTTTAATTTCGATTTCAAGGTTCTTGCATTTTGACGTTTTTTTTTTTTTGAAGATCGTTCAAAGGCGTGCGAAACCGCGGGACGCCAGCATTTATCTTTTCACCCACAGGAAAAGAACAGTCTTCAGGGACTGTCATGTCAATAAAAACCGCGGGACGCCACTGAGCATATTCTGCTTTTCTGGTCTCTGATCACGATGTACGGGAGGCGGTTCACCTCCCCGACGCTTTGATTATTATGTCTCTGTGTATTGTCAAAAAGTCCCATAAATTTGTTCCAAATCATATATATATATATATATATATATATATATATATATTGAAAATTATGCATTTTACCGTTCTGCTAATTTTTTTGGGTGGTGTTCATAACAAAATTTCTTGCTGTTTCCTTTTCGTAAATTTTTTTACAAAGTATTTCTGATATTGCATATTTTTTTTCAATGCAGATATTGGCCAATTCTGTCATGCTGGGGTTTTATTATTATTAGCGTTTTAAGAAAAAAAAAATCATTATTATTATTATTATTATTATTTTTATTATTATTATTTTATTTCCTTTGGTTTCCGGTTTATAGTCATTTTTTTTAATTTCTTTCAAGGGTCCCTTTTTTTTTAAGACCAGAGACCTCATGTCAATAAAAAAAGTTCAGAAATGGCATCATGACATTTTCCACTGAACAGTTTTTAAAAAAAAAATCAAGCACAAATATAGGGTGCGATGGGTAAATTGTCGCAATTTTATATATCGTACATCCGCGTTTTATTTTTGATTTTACCCACTGCACGGTATGCGTCAGTTGGGTACCGTCTGTGAAAAAAGAGGGCCATAATGAAACTCACTCCGCCAAAATTTTGGAAAAAGTATGCTGTACTGCTTAGTATTCGCACCGGAAGCTCCAATACAAACATTTCAGAGTGTTTGGGTATAACTCTGAGCACAGTGCAGAAGATTCGGATAAGAGTTGGATGAGTCTAATGGTGATTACGAAGGTACGGCATCTCGGAAAACTCACTCTGATCGTTATGATAAGAAAAGAACTCACGAATTTGTTGTTGAGGGCCTCAGAATCAAAACGGAGGTCTTGGGGAGGTAGTGCTGCCCTGGATCAAGAGGGTGGCTCCTGGAAGTCTCTACATTGAGCAACAGGACCCTACACCATGCCACACCAGCAGAACAGAGTCATGACAGTCAGACAATTTCTGCGACTATATCATCCACCTAACTGGCCAGACTTCAACCCACTTGTTTATGTGTGGGGCGCAGTTGAACAAGAGACCAACAATCTCTTTGTAACACCAAAAATAAACTGAAGGCAAGGACTACGGCAGCATTCACC